CCCGGGCCGGGCGGGCCCAATTCAGGGGGACCGGGTCTCGCCGATGTGGAGCCGTGCACCCGGGAACTTGCGGTCTTTGTTTGCCTGGATCCTCAGAGCACGCGAGTGAGGATGGGGGGTCGCCGCGCGCCAGCATGGCCCCCCCGCTCCCACGGTGTGCTGTCCACCCCAAAAGCGCGCACCCTCTGGGGGAACCCCAGCCACGGGTCGTTGGGCTGGCAGATCGGAGCCGCAGGTCCCCGAACTCACTTCCGCTAGGCCCGGCTCTCCCCCAACCCCCCTCCTTACTTTAAAATAAAGAAAAAGAAAAAAGGCGACTTAGATTTGCTAAATATAACCCGCGGCACCCCGCGAATCCTAAAACCGTCATTCCTACCCTCCTGCGGGGGGGGGGGCGCCATCCAGTTCCCATCCTGGTCAGAAACGGCGCCCCTGGCCGCTGTGGGCACTGCCTGTGCTGGGGTCTGGCAGCCCTGGCCGCACCCCACCGGGAGGGTGGTCCTGGAGAGTGGCCCAGGGTGGCGGGCACTGACTCACCTGAGACTGTGAGAGCATCTGTCCCTCCTGGAAGTTCCCCGGGGACCGAAATGGGCCAGTGAGATGGACCCTCTTCAGGACCCAACACGCTGGGGGGGCGCGGCCCCGGGGTGGGCAGCGGTGCAGTCTGACTGACCCGGCGGCGGGGCGGGTGGTGTGTGGGCTCTGGAGTCGGGCAGACCCAGGGGCCGGCCCTCCCGGTGGGAGGCGCTCACGCAGCCGGCGGCTGAGGTGCGTGAAGGGTCCCGAGGAGCGGCCTGAGCACAGTCCAGCAGGCCGGTGCACGTGTGTCCACTTCGCAGACGTGTACGTGGGGCAGGGGCTTCCCTGAGTGCTCACAGCTGGACTCGGAGCCTGCTGGCCCGGCCCGGAGAGCCGCTGTGCCACGCCGCCTCCCCCGAACACGCACCCCGTTCCGGAAGTGGGGAGTCCCGCCACGCCACCGTCGGCCGCTGCCCTGTCCATAGCACAGCGAGGCCCCAGAGCCGCCCTCGCTTGTCTGGCCCCGGGCCTGTGTGGGCGCAGACGCCGGCCCCTGCCTCGGTTTCCCCAGCTGTAAAGTGGGGCTGCCTGCCCCTTGCTGCCTGAAGCAGCTGGTGCCTGGCACCCTCCGCACTGGCCACCTCCTTATCAAAGCCTTTGGGTTCTCCACGTTTAAGGTTGGCCAGGCGTGCTGGCCGGGGCTCGCTTCCAGTGTGCTGGCCGGTCAGGCGGGTCACGCAGAGGGGAGCTGGCCCCGGGTGTGTGGGCACATTTATCTTGGTGACTCTGGGCCCTGCCCGCTGCTGCAGGACGCCAGCCCGTGGCCTGGCAGCGCAGCCTCCGGTGGCGATCTTAGCGTGCGCCCCCCACCCCCGCGGAGGGACCCCGCAGTTTCCGTTCGCCCGAATCCGACGGGATCGGGTCCTGCCCCGGGGTTGCATCCCCGCGCTGCGCCGTGCGGCGTCTTCGGCGCAGGCCGTCGCCGTTAGGTGCCGGTGGTGAGGCCACGCAGAGACCACTGAGCC